CTTTTTATTAGTTTTTAATAGTTTAATAAAAGTATTCTTAAGTTTAAGTAAGATACTTAATTCGATTAGCTTTAAATATAGGGGGCTTATAATAAGTAATATAATAATAAAACCTAAACTAATATAGGGCTATTTGTATTATATAAATACTAAATTAAAAAAAAAAAAGTATAATTAAAAATAATAAAAAAGAGGCCTAGCGGCCGTTTTTAAAAAAAGTAACGTACTTAACGAGGGCTTCTTCTTATTATAAAATTATAACCTATAGATAGCTAGAACGTAGTATAATTATTATTAACGAGGTTCTTATAGCTATATAAACCTAGTTTTTTATAAATTTAGTTAATTTAATTATTTAAGCTTATATAAATTTTATATTAATATATAGTATACGAATTTATTAGTAGTTAGCCTTAGTAAAGTACTTTGTTATACTACTTACTAACCGTATTATATTCGTAATAATTTATTAAAAATAAGGTAAGTAAGTAAGTAGGTAGTATATAGGAGGAAGAATTCGTAATTAGTAAAAAAGTTAGGCTAGGCTAATTAGTGGGCCTGTGCTGAAATAGTGGCTTTTAATTGGTCGAATTGCCCATGGAAGGCAGGCACGGGCCATCCCCACTGGTACCTGACAAGGGGGTTAAACTTTGGCCTGATACCGTAGTACGTTGTAGTTGCGAGAGGAGCTTTGATACTCTTGACGAGTTTGCAACTTTTGGAGTTGGAGTTGTGTGTAGTAAGGTAGTTTCATCTCATATCTAAACGAACCACAGACGTTGAAAAAAGGATGGCCTCCGCAAAATAAAGCCCAACTTCTACAGCGCGGCTCCAGGTAAGGCTATTGAACCAACCCGCAGCAAACTGCCGCGAGTGCCGTGAATATGCCGCTGTGTGTCGACGGAAACGGCGGTTTACTGCGTACTAGGAAGACGTTGGGGGTGACTTGGGGGCTAGACAGTAATTAATTTCGCCCAAACCCTGGCCTGCCAAGTCTTCGTATACAGGCATCCCTGCTAGGCCATTGCGAAGCCCCAAGGAAGCAGAAATCCCATTCTCCATCGGCTCGGCTGGGAGTGAGAAGCCACCCCTCGAGGATTATCATCCTGCTTTTTGGTCCTTCCAGGTGCCGCTTCTTTGATAGCAGCTCCTGGCGATGGGGTCTTCATTTTGCCTATACGGACATAAGATGCGCATCGGGTAGCCAAGGCCATGTTCCTCGTGGCGATAACGTGGATCCCGGCAACCTGGGAGGCATCATGCGGCTGATAACCAATAGCTTGCAAATGCTGCATGTAGCCACGTGTGGGGGGAGACTCGGGGGGGGGGGGGGGGGGGGCGGGGGGGGTGGGCGGGGGGGGGGTGGGGCGGGGGGGGGGGGGTGGGGGGGCGGGGGGGGGGGGGGGGGGGGGGGGGGGGGGGTGGGGGGGGGGGGGGGGGGGGGGGGGGGGGGGGGGGGGGGGGAGAACTGACAGGACATGGAATGGCCCGAGGCCGTTGATGATCGTGGACGTATATATCTCCAGATGAGGAGCACGTCCATCGTGAACTCTTTTTCTTGTCCCTCTCCTCATCCCACTTGCATCCAACTTGCAAGGATCCTTAATCCTCTTCGACAAGCAGATTTCCCTTCTTGTCAAGATGCCTTCTCTCGGAAGAGCTCTGCTGCTCGCCGCGGCCATGCCGCTGGCCAACTTCGTCGGAGCCCAGAGGCTCGTCGTCGATGGTGAGACCATTGGTAAGCTGCCTCCTCCCCCAGAGTCACCCTCTGCCGATCTCATCAACATTCATACTGACCACGTTTCCCAGATGCCAACGAGGCCACTGTTGCCCCCGCCGCCGAGGAGTTCCCCGAGGCAGACATCCCCGAGGAGACCATCCAGTTGACTGATGCCGTGCTGGCCAACCTCACCCAGCTCGAGCTCAGCAACATTTCGCTCTTTACCTTCGCTGACGCGACAAATATCGAGAAGCGCACTGAGCCCAACAACAAGTGCAAGCTCTTCCCCGGCGACTTCTTCTACCCTTCCGAGCCCGTGTGGAAGGTCTTCAACCTCTTGACTGGCAACTCCCTCATCAAGACGGTTCCCCTCGGAGCTGCTTGCTACGCTGGTGAGCACTACGATGCCGAGAAGTGCCAGTACCTCCTCGACAACTGGACCAACTCCGACACTCAGTAAGTTACCTTGCCTTGACTGGTACCAGCACCTCAGACTAACATCCCAAAGCGATGAGGATCCTACTTCAGTCATGTCCCCTCTCTACCAGGGCTCTACTTGCCAGCCCCAGAACGCCGCCAACAACCGCACTTGCGAGATTGGTGGCTTCCCCCTCTACTCCGTCAAGGCTACCAACGTGGCCCAGATCCAGCTTGCCGTCAACTTTGCTCGCACCCTTAACCTGCGTCTCGTTGTCCGCAACACTGGTCACGATTTCTTGGGCAAGAACACCGGTGCCGGTTCTCTGTCCATCTGGACCCACAACCTGAAGGGTCTCAAGTTCATCAAGAACTACAAGTCTGCTGGTGGCTACGAGGGTCCTGCCTTCAAGCTCGGTGCCGGTGTCCAGGTCTCTGAGCTGTACGAGGCTGCCAACAAGGAGGGCTACACCGCCGTTGGCGGCGAGTGCCGCAGTGTCGGTGTCACCGGTGGCTACATTGCCGGTGGTGGTCACTCCCCCATGAGCCCCGTCGCCGGTCTTGGTTCCGACCAGGTCCTCAGCGTCGACATTGTCACCCCCGACGGTCGCCACATCACTGCTGATGACAAGACCAACAGCGAGCTCTTCTGGGCTGTTCGCGGTGGCGGTGGTGCCACCTGGGGTGTCGTCACCTCCATGACCGTCCGAGTCTACCCCAAGACCCAGTTTGCCGGTCTTACCTGGAGCCTCAACACTGCCGAGAAGAACATCTCTTCCACCGTCTTCTGGGCCGCCATGGAGGCTTACTGGCGCCGCTTCCCCGACTTCTCTGCCAAGAAGACCTACGGATACTCGACTCTCTTCCCCGCCGGTAACGGTGCCTACCTCTGGAGCATGCGCCCCTGGTTGGTCCCCGGCATGAACCTGACCGACTTCAAGGCCATGGTTGAGCCTCTCTTCACCGAGTGGGCTGCCCTCGGCTTCAGCGTCGAGCCCGAGTACTTTGAGCACGACAACTTTTACGCCACCTGGAAGAACCACTTCCCCATGGAGAGCGTCGGCACCGACACCGTCCGTACCGCTAACCGTCTCATTCCCAAGGCCAACTGGGAGGACCCCGCCCTCCTTAACGAGACTATCGCTACCCTCAAGGGAATTATCACCGAGGGCTCCGCGCTGATCCAGTACAACATCAACGCCGCTGCTCCCTCCGACGTCACCGCCAGCTCTGCCAACCCGGCCTGGCGTGAGGCTCTCATGTTCGCCATCATTGGTGGTGGCTGGAGCGCTACCGCTACCCAGGAGGAGATCAAGACCGCCAACGTCCGCATCACCCAGGACTGGATGGGCCGTCTTCGCAAGATCACCCCCGGCGGTGGTGGCTACGGCAACGAGGGCGACGTCATGGAGCCCGACTTCGGCCAGGCCTTCTTCGGCTCCAACTACGCTAAGCTGTACGCTCTCAAGAAGAAGATTGACCCCTGGGGTGTTTTCTACGCCCCCACCGCCGTCGGCAGTGAGGACTGGTACATTGCCCGCCAGGAGGATTGGCTCACCAAGCAGACCGATCGCCTGTGCAAGAAGTAAATACAGCTTAATCTTAGTTGATGATGACGGACGTAGCAAGCACGGAGTTAAGGGGCCGGCTTTAGTGTATATACCTAAGTAGACTGATGTATAATCGCCTTCTCTTCACATGTCTATATCGCTCGCACATCTATATTGAATAAGGGCATGTGTCCTGGCATGGACTGCTCATAGAAACATTTGTTATCTGACCTATATTCATTGGCATCTGAAGTCAGTACCTGTGAAAAGAGTTTTAAAGCCGATGCTAGTCGGTGTGACGTCTTGAACTATCCAGTGATGACAATTGCCCTCAAGCGTTGACGCTGGGCCAAAGATTCGTGTCATGGCTTCGGGTGGGGTGAAATGACAGTCGTCGAAGGCCTGAGAGGTGCCATGAACCTCTCTCGCTGTGAATCCTTGACCATAAGAAGTCCTCGTTTGGCCAGACACCCGATTCAGACTATCACAGCGCTATGAATATCCGGTGCCATTGCACGGCTTCATCGGTTCGTGTCCGGATCCGTTCCGGACCTCAAACCCCAGTGATCTCCATCTCCTCCGACATCCGCAGCCCCGTAAATAAGGCTTAGTCGGTCTCGACTGTACATATCTAAGTATTAATAGGATAATTGATGTGCTCAATGGAGCTGAACGGACCTTAACCTGGCCTCTTGGCTACCTGTATGCAACAGGCGAGAGCGGCACGGTGAAAACGCGATCAAAAGAGGAAGCTCGGAAAGATTTAGTAAGAGGCCAAATTTAGACTTCAATTGAGTTTCCGCGGTGACAGGATTACCATGGTTGCAGCGCTCGACAGTGCTTTTGATCATTGGAACGCATGATTGAAAATTACACCATCAATTGCCGTTTCCCTTCTTGTCTGTCCCTCGACTGACCGTCGCCATTCCCAATTGCACGCACGAGACTCAATACGAGAGTTGATGCGGTTCTCATGCGCGTTGACTCGGGCGACGTTGCTCATTTCGGCAGTTCACTGGAGATCCTTGCTGTCCTGGGGATCCGAACGTTGCCCTGGCGGTGGAGTGGTCGACCTTTCTCGCGATTTAAGCTTGTCCGCCAAGCTTCCAAGGCCTCGTGTTCACGATGGGTTCCTCCAGTGTTGGACGTCTTGCCTTGGCCCGTTGCCGTCATTTCCCTCTTTCCTGGGAATATTCTATGTATAAGTAGATGAGGTAGGTAGCGATGACGGGTTTGGGGAATCGTGGAGATCTTCTTAGGGTGTCGCTCCTCTGCACGAACCGCACCGCCAATTTCCACCGACTTTCGATACGATGATGTCGCGTGCCGCCGCAGCGCTGCTGCTTTCCTTTGGAATATCGTCGGTTCTCGGGTCGCTCCGATGCTTCAATGATGACTTGGCCGCTATTGAGACGCCGATCATCGCGCTTCCGGCCTACGTCAAGCGTCAAGAGTCCAAGCCGGTCGACGTGTACTTTCACGTCACCAGCACCGTGGCCAACAAGGATAGAATCACCGACGCAGTCGTCGATGCCCAGGTAAGACCTACTGACGCTCTCACCAAAAGCCAGTACTGACCGAATCCCACAAGTTTGAGGTCCTGCACTCAACGTACCTCAAGCACGGCTTCGAGCTGAACCTCGTCAACGTTTCGCGCATCGTAGATGACGTCCTCGGCAAGGGCTTCTACGAGGAATCCGGCATCGGCATCCCCGACTTTGAAGGCTACGTCGCCTGGCGCACCGCCACACGCCGCGGGGGCTACGATGCGCTCAACGTCTACTTCTTCTCGGATCTGGGTGTCAGCCTTGGCGGACAGTGCGCGCTCGCAGGTGTCGTGCAGGAGGGCAGCCAACAATTCTATACCGATGGATGCTGGGTCAACGGCGACTCCATGCCTGGCATGACGCCCCGCAGCGGCAACGACACGACACCGCGGAAGGGGCATGTTGCTATCCATGAGGTCGGGCACTGGTTTGGGCTGCTCCATACGTTCCATGGACGTTTCTGTGAAGGGATCAATGATCAGGTTGCCGATACGCCTGCGCAAGCTGGTGGGAGCTCGGGGTGTCCTGTTGGAAGGGACTCTTGCCCTGATTCGCCTGGTTTGGATCCCATTCACAACTTCATGGATTACTCAGATGACACTTGGTGAGTGAATATGCAGTGATCGAGGCTCTCCGATTGGAGTCGAAGATACTGACTGTTAATCTAGCACGACTGAGTTCACTCCTGGACAGGAAGAGCGTATGCACCAGCAGTTCGATGTGTATAGAAGATGGCAGGGTTAAATTTTGGTGGTATGATGGCGGGATGTTGCTATTTTTCTACCAGTGTTCGGGTTTCTCCATCACTAGCTTCATGCTCCGACCCGAGGATAATGAAGTCATGAGTATTAATGCGTTAAGCACCTCAAGTGACCTGGTTCGATGCTTGGACTGTACAACTCTACCTATCTCTCAAAGTCTGCAACGCCGTCTTCAGGGCTATCATTAAATGTCCCGGTGTAATTAAAGTGCCATATTGCCGCGGGCAAAGATTACAGAACGTTTTGAAAGAATATCTTAATCGAACTTCGGTAAGAAAATGCATTGCCAAGGATCTTCTCCGCGACTCTAGGCAGAGAAAGGAGGACGGGATGGGGCTTATTCGGGCCCGAAAGCATCGTCGGCCTCGCCGGGTCGGCGTGACCACCATTCTGACGGACACCCAAGGCAGCTCAGGCGTGAAGAGAATCCTTCCAGGTTCTGAGGCTGGCAAGTGTAATAAGTAATACGAAACTTATGCGCAGTGCTTGTAGACTTGCAGGTTTATAAGTACTAAGGATGCGCCCGCAACCTCCGGTTCAGCCGTGTTGCGACACAACGATAGCAGCAGCCAGGGGACGAGGGATGCTTCTGGGTTGCAATATGAGGGCTGCTCTCGTAACTCCAGCAGGTCAGAATGCCGGCTTGCGGCGTCCGTCACACCGAAGACTCTTGGCCGTGTACACAAAGTGAGTATGCAGCGAGAGTCCGATGCGCCACTTCTAGCCTTACGTCGCCCTATGTGGCGCCTGCAACAGAAATCATTGGCTGTGTAGTTCGAGGCATCCGATTGCCTTTCCAAAGATCCTTTCGTTTCTGCCTTGGGATTATGGAATATTTCACGACTGACATTTGAGTCATTCACCTTGCATGCGAGGTATTTCAATGCGGGCTGGATGGTTTTCGGCTCTGCATTTCCCGGGACGACTCTCCCTCTTAGGGCGTTCAGGCAGAGTCGAAGGCATACTTTTCCAGAGTCGCACGATTAAAGAGGTCTATGATGTTTCTGATCGATATACTCAGCGTAAATCCTTCCTGGAAATGGATTCTTGATTCTTTTGCTCGTAGTGACAGTGTCACCAAGCCAACTTGCGTCTGCCAGTCTCTCCTCCAACGTGAACATGGATCCGCTGTCTATCACAGCTTCGATCATCACCCTGATCGAGGCATCGGGTATCGTGAGTTAATTTTAAAGTCTGAAGTCTAATTTCAAAATGTAGGCTAACGAGGTGTATTTCGAACATCGCAGCTCACAAAGTCCTTGCATGGCTTCATTCATGGTCTGAAGACGGTGGATGCCAGGGTCACTAGGCTCTGTGAGGAGCTCAAGAACCTGACAAATCTGCTGGAAGCAGTGGAAGGAGCCTTGAAAGATTGCCGATCCTACGACCTTGCAAAGGTTGAAGAAGACCTGCTGCAACAAAGCGATATCGCGCTTGCAGACTGCCAGACTACCCTGAATGACTTGAAGATGCTCATCGAGAGAATCAAGAAGGCGGCAGGCTCTCGAGCTCTTGGATGGAAGATCAAAGCCATGTTCGACCTCTCAGTCCATGGCAATGAATTAGTGGCATTCCAAGAGAAGATTCACAAGTCTAATGGGGCTTTGCAGACGATATTTCACACCATCACTGTGTCAGTATTTCCGTCAATCTGTTGATTTATACCCCCCTCCCTTCCCCCAAACCTAGTTAGAGTCGCCTTGTGCTGAAGCCGGTCAGCTAATCCGTCAAGTCATAGATCGCTTTCTCTCAAAAGCAAAATGTCCCACACTCTGATCATGGACGAATTATTCAGATTGAGGCAGTCTATCGACCGAGCTCATGAAATTTCGGCAAAGCCATCCGAAGTGTTTACGCACAGCTTCAGTCGCCTATCCGACGCAAGACTTTCTAGAAACCTGAAGGCTCTGGCGAAAGCGGCCGATGGCTTTTACTCTACTGCAAGCTCATCTGCCGGCACATCCCGGGGAGACCGCAGCGAAAGAACCTGGAAACCCTCGTCATCCGCCGGTTTCAGTGGGCCAGGTCATCTTTCATCGTTCCAGCGAGAAAGAATAGAGCGATTCATCGTCGACGGTCGAACTCGAAACGGATCCATGACTCCACAGCTGCTTCCGCAAGTAAATACTTCGTTCCACAACCCGTCACCTCCAGAAACTTGTTTTTCGCCAGTCAAAAGCAATCCTCCAGCTCCAGATGACGGGGATGAACTGAAAAGTCTGGAAGTTGCTGCTAGTGGAGACGACAAACCAGAAGAAGAAGATGAAGACGATGATGATGACGAAGCTGCGTTCAGTAGGGAATACATTCTCTGCATTCGCCAGATTGCGATTGAGAGCATCAAGGCTCGAGACTTCACCAAAGCTGGCGACCTATTGGAGAAAGCTCTCGCACGATGCGAGAAAGCTACCGCAGACAAGGAGGAGTACTGCCAGAGTAGCTACATCTCGATGCGCAGCCTCAAGGTCCAGCTTGCCATTTGTTACTTCTTCCAGGGCAACTGGAAGTTAGCTGAACCTGTCGTTATGGACTTGGCCTCTTCCAAGTCCAGTAGGGATAGTGTGGTGTGCAACTTATTGCATGCTCTGGCACTTGCGTACTTGTCTGAGTATTCCTTTGACATAGCTCTTGACACCTGCAAGCAAGCACTCAGGGGACACGCACGATTATCCAAGCTACGCAAGACCGATGTTATCATGCAAGACTTGAACAATAGTTTAGGGTTGTTGGCTACGACGTACGATATGACTAGCGACTACCTCAGCGCAGAAGTCTTTCGACGCAGGCTATCACCGGGATTCAAGTACCGGCATCCGGCCAATGTTGCGGATTTCCTTCAAAACCACTCCGACTTTCTCACTGCGGCTTTGGGCCCGTATACCCTCGATCCAGCCTGTGTGGTTCTACCAGACTCTCCGATAGGACAGCCCAGTGAGCAGGATGCCACCACGAGCTCACCATCTGAACAGGAGGTGTCACAAGTCCGATGGGATGGCTGGGGGACCATCAACCATCTGCCCTCGAATCTACGACTCAACATGGCAAATCACCGTCGGCTCGAAGTTGATACGAGCAAAATAGTAGTCGCACATTCGAGATCGTGCACCATCGAAGGCCATACAGTCGATGAGAGTTCGCCGACGGAAACAATCCCGACAAGCCCTGCGACAACAGCATCTTCACCTAATACCACACCTGAGAGTTCTCCTGTGTATGGTCGAATCGCTCGTTCATTCAGTGCCATGGGGTTGAACAGGTCAATAGCTAGGCCAGAGCCTGGTCTTGGCACCGTTTCCGAGCTATCACTGCCATGCGATTCTCGCCGACAAAGCACCCGAGATACCAGACTGCCTCTGCGTTTGAACCGAGAGACCTGGAGTGCAATCGAACTGGAACGCCCTGCAATGCTTCCAGCGGCAAGGCATACAGAAAGGTGGGCATGGATAAGAAATTGGCGGATGCCTCAATCCGACGGTGTGCTCGAGGAGAGACGCCGGCCTACCAAGCTCCAGAGACGATCTGCGACTCGAGTCCCGGGGCGAAGTGTGACTGTTGGCGAGTGGTTCACTCCCGCAAAATGGTTCCGTACTGGTCGAACCGTTTTGAGACAGGCAAGTTCCTATCATCGCGTTGTAGTAGCTGCGGAACCCCGGCGTATGCCTGCCGGACCAGGATTCCCAGAACTCAACGGCAATGCTGTATCGGAGCTGGGAATTACTAGTCGTACTCCGGAGCTCGAACAGCATCAGTCGTCGCCAATCTCAGCTACACCTCAACAGGTACATTTCTACGTATCACACTCTCGAGACAGATCAAACGCAACGGCACTTACGGAAGTCCGTGAGCTGGATGCAACCCCGGCGATCTCATGCGTGTCAAACAATGCTACCCAGATATAGGCACAATACGCCTTGGGAATCTCGAGCTCAAATTCAATATTGGAAGGATAATGAGGTCTCCTTGGAAGTTTCAAATAGATCAACCACCATCCAGACGATGCAGGGCATCAAACCACAGTAGGGGCTTGACTATGAGCTTAAAGTCATGGTTATTTCAATAGTCAAATACTTAGCCGGGGTTTTTCTGTAGAGAAACCACCCCAATTTTTTCATAATGCTCAAGTAATGATTTCTCGCATGAGGTGATAGGCACGTACTTCATTCCCAGCGGTGCCGCATCGTGATCTTGAAAGACCATCACGGCCCGGAGAACGCCGGGCCCCACCAGGCCGTTGCAGCCCGGCTCGCTGTCTCCACTCTCATCGGAGATGGCCCCACACAGCGGCGGGATGACGTCGCAACCCGCAATCTCGATCTGGGCCAGTCTTTTCCCATTATCTTTATTTTCTTTTCGCCCACTTGGATACCACGTCCCATCCCACCATCTCTCTCCCACTGGTCTCTCTCCCCACGTGCTCCATCACGAAACCAACCAACTCGAAGAGTGTGAGAAGATGACTCTAGCTCGGCCAGAGAGGCATTTTCCCACCACTCATTCCCCAAGGCGTAATCTGAAACCCAGAACCAACAGAGAGCAGCTCGCTTGCGCTGAGTGGTCAAAGCTAGCCAGGAGGACTCCCCCCCGCGTGGCGCATCTTTCTCACAACTTTTGATGTGGCTGCCAACTTCCAGGATTTGGTCATTGCGCTTGATGATGCTGCTGCGCAGGGGTCTTCGACGGGGGTCCTCCCCGGCTGCCTGACAGCACCTCGAAGCACGGCAGCCTATGGCATCGCGCCTCGACGCCTCCATCAGGGACCCGTATGACGTATCCATGGGCATCTTCAGCCACACGTACGCACATGCGTAGTAAAGTAGGAGAAGGGATGAGCGAGTGACGACTCTGATGATGAAAGTGTGTGCGAGAGAGCTGCTGGTGGTGCTGGTGCTTGGGCTCGGCTGGGCCTTTTGGATGGACGTATATCAGGCTGATGGTCCACGTCGTGTTTCCCATCCGTTTATGGTGTTCATCTCGTTGATCTTATTGCATACTTGATTGTACTTTCCATCATCATACAAACAGCCAATATTACCACATCTCTTAGTATTCTTTATCAGAATCCTTCATAATGGCAGAGTGGGCAAAACAAACATACAACACCCAGTACGAGAAGTGGGTTCCATGGCTCGAGGACGTCTACCTGAGATGGTTCACCAAGGACAACAAGGCCAGCTACGCGACTAAGGGTAAGCCACCAACGCCTTCACGAACCTCTCCCATCACACTAGTACCTGGGCTAGTGAGTAGCCGTTAAGAATCCGTGCTAACGTGTTCGTGTTCAGATACCCTCGACAAGAGCAAGGTCACTGGCGTCGAGCAAGTCGACACTCTCCAAGACGGCGTGCACAACCTCGCTGCCGGCCAGGTCGGCCAGGGCGGTCTCCTCCAGCCCGTTGGCGATATGGTCTCCAAGGAGGGTGTCAACCGCGCCGAGCGCCAAGGCAAGGATGACGAGGGCGGCTACGTGCCCACCGCTGTCCCCGGCTCGGGTGCGCTGAACCAGGCGGGCAGCGGTGTGGCCGAGGGCAGCAAGACCGTTGCTGGCAAGACCACTGAGGGCGTCAAGGGCGCTGGCGGCTTCGTCGGTGGCCTGTTTGGCGGTGGTGCTGGCAAGACCAAGCCTGAGCAGAAGTAAATGCCCCATCAACAACAAATATCGACTTTGCGAGGCCGGAAGAGCTTGCACCTTGTTGGCAGCCTCTACACTTGCACTTGAACGGGGGAACGCAGCGTTTTGATGCTGTCCTTGGATTACTGGCGTTAAATTGCAACGGAATTTTGTCGATTAGCTCTGACCACAATACCCACATACGGTCTTTGAATTGAAACTCATCATAATTACAATGCCTTGTCTTAATAGCTGTGACATATCAAATTTGCATAGCCCATTTTAAGCAAACATTATTCCCGCTTCTGAATGCGGCATTGACGAAGCAGCTATTGGTTGGCTTACTCTCATAAATAAATTGGTAGAGACTGTTTTTGCTCCTCTGCATGTCTGGTTGGCGGGACTGAATGTTGGTTCATGACCGTTTGCTAGCCTTTCAAGGTTGTAACAAACAGGCTCATATCTCTAGAGTCTTCTCATTTCAAATTTCCACCATCGACCTGATTCCTTCCTCCTTCTCCCTTCACTGAGCCTTCCGTTTCCGATTCGCTCCCTCCCAAGATGAGTGACCAGGTCCATCAGCCCGGCCATACTGGCGCTCGCTCAATAGCAGGCCCAATCGCCCTGGCTAGAAAGCTCAAGAGGAGAATATCCTACGTTCGATCTGATATCAAAGCCAGAATGTCTTCGAGTGCGGCCGCTCCCAAGCTACATGTATTCACCGGCAGCGATTCCTCAGAGACCCTCGTGGCGCCCGACGAGATATATCGCGCTTCCGTCGAAGACCTATTGGGCGATGTATCTCACCATCACAATCACAACTTACATAGGCAATTCCTCGTTGACCGATCGAGTCTGGGTTTACTGGGCAGGCTTCCAAAAGAGATCCGAGAGATCGTATATCAAGAACTATGGCGTATGTCTGGCTTTGGTCTGCACATCATCTTGACTGAAGCCGGCTTTGGGCATTCCAGGTGCTTACTTGAAAGACTCGAGTCTACCATCGTTGAGGGAGATGACGCCTGGGCATTCACTTGGATGGGCTCTGATTCTGATGCCAGAGGGTCAGTATCGCTTTGGTACAAGCGAGAGATGTCAGCGTGGTGTGATCACTGGAAATGTCAAGAGGCGAGGGATGAAAGAGATATATGGCGAGATATTGCGCGGCGCCGAATAGGTCACGGAGTCTCGGTCGGCGCTTCTTCGCCGTATCTGCCCATGATGCTGACCTGTAAGACGTTGTAAGTTGGACTTTCCACTTAAGAGTATGGAGAGGGCTTCCAAGACTCCCACACATTATTACAGTCACTTACATAAAAGCATATAGATATGCAGAATGTTCCTCATCAATCTACAGGTCTACCGAATTCACCATCACCGACATCAACCTAGCACGGAACCTCTTCGGTGTCCGATGGAAGACGCCCATCAGTCACCCACTCCGGCGCATCAACTTCTCTTTCAGGCGCCAGGCAGACCAAGGGAGCACGTTCGAGCAGTGGGTAGAATCATGGAGCGCTATCCTGCGGCTCCTCGACACTCCACAGCTGATGACTGTCAATCTCTGGCTGGACAGTGACATATACTACGAACGATACTGGTTATCCGTGACCGGCAACGTCCTCCGGCGGGTCCCGGAAGCGCTGGCCCACAAAGTCGCCGTCAGCCTTCCGCCGGACGGGCACGGCGACCGCATTGCGGGGGCCGCGTGGCTGACAGGCCTAGACGAGGTGCCGTGGGCGGCCTCTAGCACTGGCGTGCGCTCGCTGAGGCGCGAGGGAGGCGAAGTTGTTAATCCTGATGTGAGACGGGCGCGGGTTTGACTTTGCGGGGGAGGATGGACGGGTTTGGAACTTTTGGGTTTCTCTTACTCGACCTTACGTGAGAGGAGGGAAACATGTGAGATTGGCCCGACGGGATGGGTGCCTTTTGAAGCGGTGATGGGACGACGCATGGGATGTGATAGCCTGGGGGGGCTGAGAACCGGTCTAGATTTGTGTAGCCCGGGAGATGGACGGCGGGATAGCCAATGATTTCGTCTCGTGTATCTGGGAGATCTGCTCTGCCGGCATGCGTTGGACGTCGATGATCCCCGTCATGAAACTGCGAGACGCCTCATGGGCTGAAGTGCTGTGGCCTAAGAGCTTGCGAGAAGCTTGCTAGGGAGTGCCGCGGAGCGGACCCCGGGTATCCATCATCACACTCTATCCGGCGGAAGCGAAGGAACACTTTTTCGCGTTGGCGAAGTGAGCGAAAGGCACGGCGGGAAACTCTAAAGTCGGTCCATCGTCCTGTCAACGCCCAGAGGTTCGATTGACGTGCGCGTAAGCTCTGGATATCATCCGCACTTAGTGAAGTGTAGTCTACATGTAGTGTTGTGTAGTATCTGTAACGAAAGAACCTTTCAGGTACCGCGAATGTAGCCCGGTGCGTCTTCGGCGAATTCGCATAGGCAACTTCGGTATTCATTGTCAATTGGTTGGAGGCCGTAGTCTCGGAGCTTACGCCGCCTCATCTCTCGGTCGAGTAAGAGAGCTTGATGGTGGTGATGTTGCAACGATGCGGGGTACAGGTAGCTTCCGGTCAGCGACAAGATTGCAGAGAAGACTTCGTCGTTGCCAGCCTGTCAGGATCTTGGCGTGAGCTTGTCAACACGTTATGGGACGGTGTTTCTCGTTCGTTTGCATAGCTGATCTGTCACTGCCTCGTTTCGACACGGCAACGGAAGCGGACGGAATGTTGTAGTTCAGTATCCGTACAACAGTACGCGGAGTTCACATTATCACCGGATAGCGCGGATCATAATCGTTGTCTATCAAACTCAATGCTGAAAGTAATTGGCCAGGGGTTCGGGGAGCATTTCCTCCGAAAGCGATAGAAAAAAGCTTGGGATATTGAAAACATCGTGAGGGTCCGAACATCATTGATTGAATCCACCGGACAAAGTGGGATGGGGAGGTGTCCCGGCCGGTGCAATTCATATCCTGCCCCAAGTCTCCGTAGCTCGCGACATGTGTTCGACGCCCGCCGAGAGACTGGGTGCCCGGCCGATATGGGCTGCCATGATACGACTCTTTGATGAGAGTTGATAATCACGACGAGTTAGCCTGTCAGCTGCATTCATCGAACCATTTCTTCGCACTTCCCGGTTCTTCCCCGTTCCAAGAACCTGCATTAACGCGTTCGGTTCTTCGGAAGGGGGACCGTTTTGGAGACATCTAAGGATCTCGGATAGAATGCCAAAGACTCTCTCACAAGCTCGCAATTGCCTCTCTTCTACTCCGTACAGGG